TGTGTGTGTGTGTGTGTGTGAATCTCTGTCTGTCACGAAATTCGTAGAGCGAGTTCAGCCAACCTCCTGAGCCCAAATTTTGCACAGCGCATACTACCAACATAAAAGTCCAACATACAAAAGCATGAGCGGATCCGTTGCGTGGATCCCTCAAAACTGCGCGTTAATCGGATCCACTTGGCTTTCAACCAGCAAAATTGAGCATGTGGCACAACTTTTGCAAAGTGATGGGTATGCTTGACAAGCTAATGTGCAAAACATGAACTTTAGCCTAAAAAATTGAACCAAACTTTATTACTTTGAGAAAACGGCGCCAAAAATAATTGATTGTGTAAATGTACAATTTGCCAAGATTTCATCCGATCATTTGAGAAGATTTTTGCACAGAGATGTAGCCCACGATGATTATTGTATCTTATGATGAATACCAAGCCATGAAAAGTCCAAAAACCGATTGAAATTTGCATTTGTTCTTTAGGGGAGAGTTTGATTCACGCGAAATTACCGATCTCATGTGGAAAAGCTTTTGGAATGATTAGCTGTTTACAATTCATTCGTGATAGTCCGCACAGCGCGGTGAGTTTCAATGTCATTAGTGTGCGGGAATGGGTAATGCATACAGATAGTAGGACCAGTGCGAGCCTCTGCGAAGCAGAGGTGACGCACTTGTTTTAAATAAAGAACCTGTACCATCTGCAGCGGCTTTGCCTCCGGGAACTGGCTGCGGCAGCAGTCGCCTGCTCAGGTACCACTTGCTACGCATCCTTTGGAGATGAACTTATTTGCCGTGGAGATCATTTGCGCTGCCCTTAGGCAGTGCCTTGTAGGGCATCACAGCGATCTCCACGTAAAATCGCGATATCATCAGATCCGGGCAGCGTCTTTAACTGGTCGAGAAGAGAACCGTATTGCGAATGTTAAACTAACGAAACTTTCTGTTCTCTTGTTTCCATCCTCCCCACTACACTTTGGATCGTCAAAATTTGATTATTCGAATATTTTGAAATCTCGAATATATTCGTTGTTCGCTTATTTCAAACTTGTCAATTTCGACTTTATTCGATTATTTGGTTATTTTCGATTTTCGAAATTATTCGAACACTCGAATAACCATTTTCAACAATTATTCGATTACTCGACATTTTCGTTCAACTGAATAACTACATGACAGCGTCACATTTCTGATTGCTATACCAGCAAATATCCTTTGTGGTTCAAGTTGCCCAGTACATGGGCAACTTGAACCACAAATGGAGTCCTTCACTGTGCTAATTTGACCAAAATTTTCTCAAAGGGGCAGCGTTCAGGCAAGTCTGGACACATGGGGATCTCACGTGAATAGTAATTTTGGGGCCCTAACTAAGCCACTGCCCAACCGGCAGATCAGGGAGTGCTCTAACAGCTGAGATATCCCCCTCGAAACTGGACCCCGCGATCGTATTTCGCATAGATTCATGGCGCAAAGCGTGGATCCTGGCGCGAAGCTGCCATGAATCCATGCGAATACGATCGCGGGGTCCAGTTTCGAGGAGACTATCTCAGCCGTTAGAGCACTACCTGCGCTGCCGCTTGAGCAGTGCCTTAGTTAGGATCTCAAAAGTACTTTCCACGTAAAATCCCCATAGGTCCAGATCTGCCTGGACGCTGCCTTTAAATATTTGACAAAGATGCGAAGTTTTCGTAAAATTTTTTTATAAATTGCTGTATTTACTTCATATTAGAATGATATATAGAACCAAACTTTTTGAAGACTTTATTCGATTATTCGAAATCTTTTCATTTCAGAAATATTTTCGATAATCGGACAATTTTTTTCTTTGAAAATACTCGATATTCGATTATTCTGCATTCTCAATTTTCGGCAATGTTCGGTATTCGGATATTGGGCATCTTTGTTTTTGAAAATATTCGAAATTCGATTACTCAATATTTTTGATTTTTGAATATATTCGATTATTCGATTATTCGAGAAAAAACTTGACGAATACTTCAAAGTATACTCCCCCCCCCCCCCGCCCCTCCCCCCACGTGGCAGTGAATAAAGTGCCCAGAACGTGCAATTCTTCCGTGCAGTACAGTGCAAAAGCATGTATCTCTATCGTTCTCACATTGCTTTCATTAGCGTTCTCATTTTCATTTCAGCTGAATCAGGGGAGCAAGTCGGACTCATTCCATCACCAGTCTACGTCGGACAAGAGGTATATGTGCAAGACGGATTGGCGGGAGGCGTGCAAGTGTTACCCAGGCAGCCGCCTGGTGCCGCAGCCAGCCGCCAGAGCTGGCACCAGCGTCGCGGCTGAGCTACCGTAAGCGCGCTCTCGTCGTCCGCAATCTCTCGCAGAGAGATTTTCGCAGCAGCCTCGCACCTCTCGCGCTGAGGTGCGAGAATTCCCTCAGAGGTCGAGCTACTGCCACATATTATATATCGATCAACACAGCGGAAAATTTGTAGTTTATTAGTGATATACATTACAAAAAATATACAAAAACAAAAAAAGTTAATTAAATGAAAAACAACACAAAAAATCACAAATGAAAATCACAATCAAATCTACAATTTTACATCCACACTGCTGTCAAATGGTTTTCTCTGCACAAATTTCGACATTTTAATACAATTTTGTGGGCATTTACCTCAATAATTACATCGGAATAATAGATATGAATATTTGGCAATTGAATTTGTAAGAAATCCTCCCCATCCGGTAAAGTTCTTAACTCTTCGGGGATGCTGTTCATTTCTACCCTATTTACTTGCGAGGATGCAGCTCTAAAAAAACCCGCAAAAAATCCAAAAATCCAACAATTCACAATTGCTCTTGAATTCTTTTCTTATATTTTTCTTATATTTTTTATTTTCTGGCAGCTCTAAACTCGCAATATTTTTGGACTACAAGTAAATTTTAACCTTTTAGACTTTCAGCGGCTGAAGAGTAAAGCTGGCTTGTAACAGGTAGCGGATTCTGGGATTGATAAATTTTCAAAAAGATTCGGTAACAGGCAAAAAATCAAAAATTACCTCCAATAGCGACGGATTTTCTACATAGGTAATTTGAGCAAGATGCTCAGACTAAAGGCTGTAAAGCTGAGAGTTTGACATCTCGAATCTTAGCTGCTCAACATCATTTCACCTTTTTTACCTCCATATGTGGCACACTTTTTCTAATATCTGATCTAGTTGGTGTTAGAAGTCTTCTGCCCCAAAGGTCACAACGAATTGTGCCAAAAAACCATTCAACAATCTATTTTATATTTTTTATGAACTTACTCCACGATAATGCTTTCAATTCAATTTCGTAATCATTCCATCAATTTATTTATTTAACTTTTTTTTGTTTTCGTATATTTTTTGTAATATATATTACTAATAAACTACAAATTTTCCGCTGTGTTGATCGATATATAATATGTGGCAGTAGCTCGATCTCTGAGGGAATTCTCGCACCTCAACGCGAGAGGTGCGAGGCTGCTGCGAAAATCTCTCTGCGAGAGATTGCGGACGACGAGAGCGCGCTTACGGTAGCTCAGCCGCGGCGTTGGTGCCAGCTCTGGCGGCTGGCTGCGGCACGCGGCGGCTGCCTGAGTAACACTTGCTACGCACCCCGGATTGGCCGCTCGTGCCTTTTTTCAGCACCAATATACCCTTTGTCTTATTGGCAGCGACGCCGTCTCGAGCGACCGGATCTCGACTGCTATGCTCAGGCGCGAGAAAGTGATCAGACGACATATCTGAAAAGGTGGTGCAGGGCCCAAGCCAGCCGCGCGGGATCCGAGTCGCCTTGGATGGCGCCTCTACAAATTAGACAGAGAATACGTCAGCGATTGTTGCCAAGAACTTTGGGCGGTCACTCGTTCAAGAATTTCCGATTCTACTTGTTGTTTTTCACAGATCCAGCATATTTTGGGAAGAGGTAGCTTCAAAAGTCGATGGCAATACATTCCAGGGCGTGCTCTTTCCTTCTGCTGCTTTAGGCCGCCCGCGCTATAGCAGAAACGGGGACCCATCAATTTCTCTTCCCGTGCACAATCGCCCATCTTTGAACTGCCTGTAATGAAAGCAAAAGCGTTGCATGCCGCCCATGCGGACGGTCTATACACATTTAGCACTTACAAGGGAAGGACTTAGTCCTCTACCCAGTTTATAGCACGCAGGAACTGGACGACGTTCGTCCGATAAAGAGCATGGGTTTGGGGAGACAGGAGACGGTTAAAGGAATGAAAGTGCATTTGCGAAAGATGCCGGCAATGTCCTGGCGTGCTATCTTTGCATGTGATAAATTGCCTATGCATACATGCATAAGCTGCTGACTACATACCTTATGCTCGCGTACTACATAAAGTTGCCTGCACGAGACGCTCGAGTTGTTGTAGACTGAACGCACGCGAGCGTGCCTGCAACGCGGCTATCGAGTGCGGGCGCTATGATGACTCATGCGCGCGGATGCCAATGTTAGCGCGCAAGAGACACGATCGCGGGCGCTCATCCAGGCCGGCGATTCCGTGCAGTCAACTATACAATGATGCGCCTTGTCGAGCTGACAAGGAAAGCGGTCTAGTCGAGGTGGCTTTCTAAATGAGACTCACACCACTTTAAAGAGCACTGCACAGTGGCTCCAAATCTGCCGCATAAATTTTGACCCGAAAAACGCCCATAACTCGCGTCCAGAGGCGCTTGGCAGATAACGAAGACAGATTTGGAATCACTGTGCAATACTCCCCTAGCAGTAGCGATCTCATCGGAAAAGGCCACTTCGACTACACACGCTTCCCTTGTGAGATGAATGGTGTTCTATTAGAAAAGTCTCCGCTTTAATCCAAGATATGGCTATGAGACGCGAAAAACTTCGGCGCATCTTGAGAGCATTTCCCAAAAATTTGAGCGGTATCGTACTCGTGAGAGCATACAGATTTCATCACTGGTTTCACTTTCCGTTACACTGTCAGCTGTTGCTCATGATAAGCGTCCACTAAATCGATCGCTGCGATCACTCTGCACTCACGAGTGAGCGTTCCTTCTTTGTATTCATAAATCATCTGCTCCATCGGCATGAACCTCAACGATGTTTTACAAAGTTCCATCAGTTCTAACTTCTTGATTCCCGTTGCGGTAGGTTCGACAATTTCTCGCTTCACAAAACATAAATATACTCTGAAATCTAGACTAATCAGCCTTTCATATACTCAACATTAGAAAGCTACCCTAAGCTCTGCACTTTCAAACTGCGCTTACAAATATCTTCAGCTTCAAAGCAAGGTACGACTAAAATTAAACAAATCTATATGCCTCTAACGAGCAACTGAGGCTTGTGCAATCTCATTTTTGCTAATGTGCATGTTCGCTCTTAAAGGCAGTGAATCGGCAAAATTCAAAAACTCAGGATTTTAACGCGTTAGGTTCCTTATCGCCAAAGTATGAAAACAGTGCAATCCCGGTTGCACAGCATGCTTTCCCTGCCGAGAAAATCGCTCTCAATCTTACACGCGCAGGCGAATCTTACACGCATCTGGACGAGTTGGCAATTTCCTTTCTCACCATTGGAGGCTGCCGCCGCAACGCTATAACCATTGGCTCCTGCAACGATTTAGCGTCATTGGCCTTGCTCCACTCGTCCGATTTCAAAGGAAAGGGCATTAAAAAACGCTTATTTTCGCCGTTTTCAAGCTTTCAAAAGTGCATTTTCGGGAAAAGCGTATTGAATAACCCCGGGTAAGCGCAAATTGACTACGTTGAAATTTGCCGAGCCACTGCCTTTAAGCAGCTTTGCCTGATCGTGAAGGTAGGTAAGTTTGCGAGCAATGGCCCTTCACGATCTGGAGCGCTATTTATCAAGAGCAGCAAAGCCCATCTTGACAGGTCGGGCTCCGCGTGCCCGACTGCCAAGCTCGACATGGCCAAACTTGTCAGATCGGACCAAACTTTCTAATAGACAGGAGCCCGATCACCAGCTTGGCTTGGTGTATCGCCGGCGCCAGTACCCGCGCCTGTACGGGTTGTTACCTGCACTGGAACCTCTTCCTATATAGGAGATTCATAAATACCGCCCCTGGCGAAGCCCTATAGCTATGAGAGTAATGACTGTAGCTTGCCAGTGGTAGTCAACGAACAGCTTGTTTTCTGGTAAAAATAACAAGATACTAATCGAGAGACTTTGCAAAAGGCGTACGCCACCAGTGGTCTAAATCGGCATGGCAGCAAAAAGTTCGTGGGCCACCGGTGGTCCTCATCGTCGTCTCGTCAATTAGTTAACAGGCAGTAAGTCAGCCTTTACAATGTCTGCTTTTTCAGGCCACTTACGCCTTCGCACCTACTGCTGAAAGGAGGGATTTAGAGGAGCTTTCGTTCCGATGTTCTGAAAAAATGGATTTCTGATACTTATCGAAGCTTAAGTGGCCGAAGTTTCAAAAATAATCTAATTAGGTAAAGGCACGGCCCACGTGAGATATTGACACGTAACATCTGCTCCCCGGTTGCCTGCGAGGGCGGACTCGAGCGAGCGTATTAGCCGTGCGGTTGCTCTGTGTTGAAACATCATGACTTATAATAGAGCGCGTGTCTGTCTGTTTGTCTGTCTGCCTGTATGTCTGCCTGTCACAAAATTCATATGGCGAGGTGCAGCCAACATCTTGAGCTAGAATTTTGTCATAGCACCCTATCAGCGCGTAGGTAGACTGTGCAAAAGCACAAGCCAAACCAGCAAGTGGAACCACTGAAAATTGTGCGTCAACCGGATCTACGCGACTTTTGGCCTGCCAAAATGGGTCGGTAATTGGACTTTTCGTAAAGTCGCACAAAATGACACCAAAAAGGTGTAACTGCGCAAATGCATCAATTTGCCAAACTGTGTATTTTTGAAATTGAAGAGATTTTTGATTAGATATGTAGCCCAAGGTGGGATACCCTTATGGCGACTATGAAGCCAAAATAAATTCAGTAACAATTTAAAATCGCCTTTGTTCTTCTGCAGAAAAATCTTTTCTTCCAAAATTACCGAACATAGATGGAAAAGCTCTAAAAATGAACAGTTTGTTTACAATCCATTTACAATCCATTCGTGATGACCGGCATCGCGCGGTGATTTTCATTATTATTCAATCACGAAGATGTATACGGATAGTAGAACCAGTGCGAACCTCTGTGACGCACTGGTAGCTGATAAACTGATTATCGATTGACCATTGCGACCGCCCTCGCAGCAATCGGGGAGCCGATGGTACAGTAGCAGGTCCCTAGCTACAGGCCCCGTGAAGTCCAATTGCCCACGCGTCGCTTTGAACACCAACGCGCGGCGCGGCTGGAAACGTTTGGTCCCGAAGCGCTACAGGCTTTTTGCGAGCGACAATGAGCGCGCACCCTTTTTACACATATTTTTTTAAACTTTTGAAGGGAGCTTTCGTCAAGATATACCTTGCATTGACGAGAACAACATGAGATTTGAAGGAAGATTTCTTGGAATTCAGTGGACGCCGACAGTCGTTCGCGACGACCGCTCGCTTACGCTGGTGTTCAAGGCACGGCGCGGGCAATTAGGTTTTACGGCGCCTATAAATAAACGCCCAAAGTACGCTAAAAAGGTGAACTTCGAAGTGAGAAAACCGTCCTTATAAGGAAGAAGCGGAGGTCGCTTCACCCATCAACGTATATGGTCTGTGAATGCAAGCCCAAGAGTTCAAGCTGTCCAAAACTTATTGAGCGTATTTTCAACAGTTTTAGATACATTTATGTCAAATTTTGCACTTGTAACCTCAGACCACCCACGTTGATATTCGGAGTTTTTATCCTCTGGAGCGATTTTCTCGCTTTGCAATTGACTTGAGCTTCAACTTAGTTAGGGCCGTTATTGTTATTGCACCGCGTCAAAATCTCATCACCCCACTTGGGTGGACGGTGCCTATAACGAAGTCTTATATATTTACTCGCGTAAATCACGAAATACAGTAACTTGCATCATTCCCTAAGGGTTTACGTGAGCTCGCCGCCCTGCGTTTAATTCAAATCTTGAAAGCATAATGGGAACCGCGAATTTGCTGAGGGCTGATCTGATAACAACGTGTATAATACTGTCACGAACAAACAAAGAAAACAAAAAATTGCGGCTCATAAATGCAATTTGTCCAGCACATAGGAAGCTTTGGTAGAGTTAAAGTTAAATAGGCGAAGAAAAATCCAATTTTGAAGAACGCTAGTACTTTCCTGGCGGGAATTTTATGCCTTGGTCGAGAGATGCCTCATATGCATTACTGTTTCAATAGGAAAACAGCGTTATGTTGATGCAACAATGATTGCCATCTAATGAAAATGCCATAATTCTGTGAATTGCACATGCTGATTGAGCATCAATCGTATTTAAAGGATACCACAAGGTATGCAAAAGGGCAACGCTTAAGGCCTCGGGCATACCTCGCGCGATTTCAGTCGCCACGCGATATGGCAATACTCCAAATGTTCATAACTCATCCTACGGGGTTTCTGAATGTACGGAAGAGGGGCATTTTATCAACCTACGAAAGTTATACATGCTGTGCATTTGAGGTCTTCCAGTATTGAATTTGAAGGCATATGGCAAATTGCCAGATCGCGTGGCGACTGAAGTCGCGTGAGGTATGTCCCTTGCCTAAGGAGCTTTGACCCTTATGGCGTGTAAGTGGTAGGTATAGTGTGGACCCCGGCCAGCTTCCCATATGTACCTCCGCGCCGCGAACGCAGCGCATGCCTTCAGTGCTCTTTTCGTCCCAGGACCTATTGGTTTCTATGCGTTCCTCTCTTTATTGAGTTTGTTTTTTTCTATAATCTCTTTCTTTCAGGGTCAAACGAACCACACCAGCTGATGATGACAAGTTTTTACGAGCCTCAAAAGTCTTGAGAGCTTCTGTCTCAAAAACTCTCGTTTCTTTCCTCGAGGATTAAGTATAGTTTGAAGAGATTTCTTCAGGGTTTCTATCACGGACCAAACGTATCTATTCGATTGAATTTGTTTTGTATAGAAACGTATCTATCCGACTGAGTTTGTTTTGTCTAAATCTTTTAGTTCCTTGTCAATGCGGCACTGAAGCTTCAGCTTGTTAAATTACGCTCTCCGCCTTATGCTTCTAGTTTTTCAATGATTGCAGAAGAGTAACGTTCCAAAAGAATCCTCTTTCCGCTATTTCTCGATTTTCACCCATCAGTGGTAGTTTTATAATAGTATGCATGAAAATGACAAAGAACCAAGTGTTAGTGGAGGTTGGAAGAGTTTTTTCTTCTGCTTAAGTTTTTCTGGAGGTGAGAATAGAGGGTTCCACTTCTTGTCTCACTCTTATCTTAAGTTAGAGATGATTTTTCGTTCATATGGAATAAGAAGCGTTAACAGTGCGCGCGTTGCATATGCGCTGCGGAGGTACATATGGGAACCTGGCCGGGGTCCACACTATAAGTATTAGACTCTGCCTATGCAAAAAGAACGGATAACAAATAGGTTTTTCTTTAAAGACCTTGCTTTGATCTGCAAAATGAAATCTTAATGATACGTTCTGATCAAAAGTTAACTAAAGGTTTGAGTCAAACTTACGCTACGCACGAAGGATGCAAGGGAATAATGAAGCTGCCGGAGAATTCTCTGTATAAGGTCGCAAATCCGGGCTTATTATATGAGACTATCTCCGTGCTGAAATAAGTTACAATGTGGTTAGAAAGCGAAGACACTTACTTGTCCAAACCTATTACAAAATAGATGCATAACCGCCAAAACACTCTTCCACATCCACTTCATGTACGATGAGTACATGAACTATGGATTAATTCAATTTGCACGCACATGTTACATTGTACAAGGCATTATGCAGCTCATGTCTAAGGGCCGCATGCATTAACATCCCCGCCGGGGAGGGATCGCAGCTTCAGAAGAAAGCTTCATATCCTAAAGCTCCAAATATCTGGATTTCAAGCTGTCTATTTATCCGTAAGTGCTCCCACCAACCTTCACTATGAACATCTTAAACCGGAGCAAGAAGCCGTACAAGCTGCATTTTCCAGCTATCTGTTCTATCCCCTGATGATCCCTGGCTGCCCAACGTCTTTTCTAAAAAATCATTTTTATTTTTACGAAGTCATTAAAAACATTCCAAAGTTGTGCTGTTTATCTAGCCCAACAGTGTTAACCGTGTTTCTGGTAAAAACAAGTGATGTTTTGAAGTTAAAAAAATTTGCGATGAACCACAAGTCGAAAGTTGGGGTTTATCGGAAAAATCGATATTCCAAAAACTCATTTGTTTTTATCAGCAACATGTTTAGCACTGTTTTGTTAGATGTTCAGCGCAACTTTGGAAGGTTTTCGTTGACTTCAAAGAAAGAAATGTGACTTTGAAGAAAAGACGGTCGGCCGCGAGGGATCAGCAGCTTGCATAGCTTCTTGCTCCCGGTTAAGATGTTCATAGTGAAGGATGGCGTGAGAGTACTTACGGAAGGTACAGCGTGAAATCCAGATATCTGGAGCTTCAGGATATGAAGCTTCCTTCTGAAGCTGTGATCCCCTCCCTGGCGGAGATGTTAATTCATGCGGCTCTGGGAGACCCTTATGCATGAAAGACTCTGCGGCGTGAAAGCCCCGACATAATAGGGCGTGCACAATGTTACAACGGGGTGGTGATCTCTTCGGCCGAAATACCAACGATTTCATTCGCGACGCGATTTGGCAATACTACAATTGCTCATAACTCTCGTAAGGGGTTTCTGAATGTATGGAGGATAGGGCATTTTCCCAACCTAAAAACGTTACACGTGCTGTGAATGTGGGATCTACCAGTATTGAATTTGAAGACCTCCGCTAAAGTGCCAGATCGTGTGGCGACTGAAACTGCGTGAAGTACCTTGGGCCTCAAGCCTCGGCTACATGCGATTCGCGCCGCGCGGTCTAACAACTCGCCACATGTGTTGAATCATACCCTCGATACATAGAGCCACATACTCTGGTAACCTTCACTTTGAGGGCTATGAGGGGACACAACCTTCACCTGGAAAAAAAAGAAGTCACCCGGGGCGAAGCCCCGGATGTTATTATCCTGACTATATCGGAACGAATGCTAATGAAGCAAATACAGAGAATAATATCTTTAGTTTATCTGAGCGAAACCGAGAATTTGCGTTTTCATAGCCTTTTTTGCGTTAAAAAGAGGTTTCTGTGGATTTTTTGCTAGAATTCAGGATAAAATTTCACAGTTTTTGGTGGTAATCAAGTGTCGTAGGCGATAGTGGTGTCGATAATAAATTTATCCACAGACGAACCCGGTGATGAACCGGGGGAGCAACCTATAATACAATCGGGGGCTCCTTATATAGGTAGTAAGGCGGAGCTGACCCGTGCACAATCGGAATGTCCACGAAATATATGCAAGAAAGAGGATGCCGCGGCTTGGCGCGGCCCCTAGAAGATAGATGCCACTCATTGGTGAGTGATTCGGCACTTAATTATAAGCGATTGGGGAATATAGCCTATGGGGAATACCCGTAAGCTATTAGGATTATAGAATTTTTGAGGTTGATGATACATAAATCATCAACACTCCGGGCGAGCAAGAAGGAGGCGAAATCTGTTGAGATGTCAATAAATAAATACAATCAAAACCTCCTAAAAGCATTTGTACCTAAAAATTGAGATATAGCTGTTTTTGCGCCTACCGCTCCATTATAAAAGAAAAAGAGGTTAAGGAGACTGTGCTGTCAGACTGCCATTGTGCCGCCAAGGATCACGCGAAAGCTGAACTAAACGGCCCGACGACCTTGCATATCGACTTCACCCCCCTTCCCCCCTATGGACGCATGTACCTCGTCGCCGTATATGTCTACTAACCCGAGTTCATGGAAATAAAGGCGACTAAGTTAAGCCACCAGGCATAGTTGAATATCTTCAGCAAATTCGACTTCCGGAAACGCTTGTTTTGAGCAACGGTATCCAGTTCTCCTTCCAGTTCCTCGAGAATAAATACAGGATCAAGGACATTCGAACTCCGCCATTTCATCCGCAGTCGCTAACGTTCAGTTAACACAGTCCATACACTAACGTTTCGTCGTAAAATTTTAAAAGTGAACTTCGGAAGTTGAAAGGAGAAAAGAACCTTCTGAAGTCTGTCGAAGATCTGCTATTCTATTGCTGCACATTTTAACCTGATAACTTTCACCCGCAGAAATGTTTTTCAAACAAACGCTTTATACCAAGTTCGATCACTGGGCTCGGGCCGTCACGCTAAGCTAGTTCGGATCAAAACAACCTTCAATACAGAGTTAGCAAAGCGCGTTTTAGTGGCCTTTTCAAATGAGACCCATACTGTTTTGGAGAGTACTGCACAGTGATCAAATCTGCCTTCATTATCTTCCAAGCGCCTCTACACACCGAGTTAGGGGCGTTTTTCGAGTCGAAGAATTTAAGGCAAAACTGGAACAAAATTGCCCAAATTTGCTCAGATGGTCCGGTGTCGAGTATCAGACCAGTTCTGCAATGGACATTTTGTCTAATATGCTAATACCTAACATTGCTTTATCTGAGTGCTGGATAGAGTGTAACGATTGATTTTGCAAAAATTCTGCATTCACTTTTCGTTCCAAAAACGGTCATAACTCGGCGTCCAGAGGCGCTTGGCAGAAAACGAAGGCAGATTCGGAGCCCCCGTGCAATGCTCTTCAGAGGTATGAGTCTCATTTAGAAACGCCACTTCAACTGAAAACACTTCCCTTGTCAGTACGTCCTTCAACTTGGAGCCAAGAAAAAACTCAAGGCCTTCTATGCTCGCGCTTAGCGTAATCCATCGACGCCTACTTGGGCTCCAGGACGTGTAAGATAAAGATGGCCGCTTACTTTACAACGTTTGAGTCAAAGGATTTGCATGGGACGTCATCCCAACCACTGCACCCTCGTGCACTGTGCCATTGAAGGAAGGCAATTCTTTGGACTTGCATCTTCCAAAAACGTCGACTCCCGCTGACCGGTTGATATTCCGGCATCCGCTGCCCAAGAAGCCGACCTCATGGTTGTAGCGTCGCTAATTTCTATTGTTGCTGCCAGTGGTGCCAAACCTCGTGACGCTGGCTCCAGGTCAGGAATCACGCCGCGCATGTCGCGCTATGATTTTTATCTCACAGAACTGCCCGGAGTGGCACGGTGCCAGTTTAAGGGATGGGGTGGGAGCAGTTACATGGCTCCTGCCATAGGTAACACGGGCCAAGAGTGCTATCTCTTGTACGGTTGACATCGCTTGCGGCATCGCTTCGCGAAAAAATCGCGCCGAGCGTGACTCCTGACCGTTCCTCGTAACGCTGACTACTTCATCAATTCCGTCTCCGTCCGTCAGAGTGGAGGGGAGCGGGTGGAGAAGATGTTAGGCAGCGTTTCGTATCTGTATTGTGAATGATGTATACCATTGTATCAACTGCCTCTTTGCAATAGATCAATTCGTAGTGTTCATATTCAAATCCCTTCTCCTGCGTTTCCCCGATTGTTCCTAAAGCTTTCTGGTGTCTAGCAAATCACCCTAATTACTTCCAATCGAGTGAAGCTCTGCCTTTCCCACGCTTGCCCTGGGAAAGTGCCATAGGTGCGATAGGGGGAGCCGGGCTCTCCCTAAGTGAAGGGGGTCTCGGCTGTTCCCGACCTTCCAGGGTGAAGGGGGTATGTGAGTCTAGGGGGGGGGGAGGAAGAGAGAAAAGGTAAAAAGGCGTGGTATGAAGAGCTCTAATTTGTACCTTATTTAGGCACAAATTGAAAAAAAATTGAAAATTTTCAAAAGAAATTTACAAATTAAAAAAAAAGGTTATGAAGATCTGTGCTCCTGTTTCACTGCATCAACAAAAAACGAAAGCAATAAGGTTTATCCCAAAAGATGTACAAGTTAGGAACAACTTCATTTCCTGCACATCATCATCAACAAGATCACTATCGCTAACGTCAGAGAAAACAAGTTCGATGCCTGAAAATCTTCTTCTTCCTCCGAAAGGTCATCGGAGTAGAAGTAGAATTGCGTGCTAAAGCGTTCTGAGTCGAAATTGGATTTGAAACTTTCTTCTTCTTCTAAGCGCTTTTGTGATTTTTTTCCTGGCCCTCTGGTAGCACCAGGAAGTCAGCAGGTAGGTGACCAGTTTCTTCATACCATTTTTTAGGATATTTCAAAAAGTCGTACGGTAACAGCCTGTCTGGACCACTTATACCAATCCTTTAAATGAAGTTTTTAGATAACAATGTGTTTAGTAGAAGGTTGACAAATCTTAAGTATTTGCTTAGATGCTCTGTCGTTGTACGACTTCTGCGTTGTGTTCTGATAACAGAGTAGATAGAGAATTTCTTTCTCCACCTCTGCCGTGCTAGTCGGAATGGAAATTAGCTTTGCTAGTAAGTTCATCAGATTTTTGCGGTAAGTAATGGGAAAAGAGCCAGATCGCATATGCTTTCGCAACACGGGAAGGAAATAGTGCATACTTTTTTTTTGGGCCTTGTCGAACTCTGGCTTCACCTCCTCTGGCATACGTCCTGTTAGTTGATTAGAAAGCTGCTCAACTTCTTCTTCAACAGCATCTGCGGAATAGCCGAAAAAAGGAGGTACTATGTTGCGCGTTGGTTTTTTTTTCAATATCATAGGTCATAATGTCACAAGGCGAATAACTTTCAAAAGCATAAAGCACAGAGTTGGGTTCGCACTCCAGCCGGGATCTAAGTGCAGTAACTATGCTTTGTACTAACACCTTCCTTTTGTTCATATCCATGTTTGTGAATTTAGCAGCCTTGAATTCTTCAGCAACCTGAAGATCAGCAATGGACTTCCTGGACATTTCCTCATTGAAACTAGACAATCTGCTTGGATTCCTTATGCAGGAAATCAGAGAGTTTCGCTCGATTGCCAACTCTGTATCAATGTCGACAACATTTTCGTCGGCGTAAGATTCTCCTTCTGCCTCGCTGTTGAATTGGAACACATGCGAGTTATCTGCGATTTTGTAAAGTATTCTGCCTGCCGTTTCCTCTTCAAACTGCCAACCTTTCCAAAACATTGAGGGTTATATTAATAACATGTTATTCTTCTGAATGTCTTAGAGTTTTTGATTTATTGAAACCAACCATTCTCTACAAATCAGAGAGTGAGTCTACGCGGTTTATCGAAAGTTATCTTCTTCAGCACTAGGTTTACAGAGTGTGGATTCCAGAAATGGGCGGGTTTTTGTGTGAAGGTGTGGAAATTCACCAACTTCCATAGTTTTTTGAGTGTGTGCTAATGATGGCAAAAATGAAAATAAAATAATGATGGCATAACTGTCAATCAAAAGCGCATTTTTTACCAAAAAACATAAACATATAACAACGATAAGCACGCTCAAATAGAGCGTTCGCTCACGTTCCCGTTAGTGCTGATAACGATGTCAATCCACAGCACATTTTTTACTATTGACTTGCTCCACCTCGCTCTTATTAGGTCGTCCAGAAAGTTTTTGGGCATGAATTTCAAAATTCATAACTTCTGATTTTTCCACGATTTGACTGCTTTCACTTTTATGTAAAAGGGTAAGTCATGCTTTTTATAATGACATCTCAGCTGCTTAGTAATGGTCATCTGTTGCATAGATAGAAGCGATAAAAGAAAAAAGGTAAAAATTTTAATTTTCTGTGTAAGGTCATAAAAAATCGGAGACTTGCAACAAAAATCGGAGCAGTCAGTACTGTAGGTTTTTTCACCAGCTCTTTCTAACAGTGCAAAGTTTGCGCCGATTGAGCGTCTCAATAAAAAGTTATGATTTTTCTGAAAAATGCAAAAATAAATCAAATTCGCCTTTTTGTATTGCTTGCTCGGAAATCATAACTTTTCATGGAGACGCTCAATCGGAGCAAACCTTGCACTGTTAGAAAGAGCTGGTGAAAGAACCTACAATATCGACTGCTCCGATTTTTGTTGCAAGTTTCTGATTTTTTTTTTGCTACACAAAAATTCAAATTTTGAGTGATTTTGGTTTTGAGCTTCTATCTATGCAACAGATGACCATTACTAAGCAGCTGAGATGTTATTATAAAAAGCATAACTTACCCTTTCACATAAAAGTGAAAGTAGTCAAATCGGTTGGAAAAATCAAAAGTTATGAATTTTTGAAAATCGTGCGCAAAAAATTTCGGGACGACCTATACAATGTGTTGGCTTTCATGAGTCACCGGTGCAAATGATTTTTAGAGCCGGGAAGCAAAGAAGCCCTAAAGAGAATCGACGTAGACCGTCGACTTTTTTCTAGGTCTTCTGTGCCGCGAGATATGAGGGATTTTATGTGCTTTAAAAATCAACTGATTTTGTGTCCTCACTTTCTGCTCTCCAAATGAATGCTACGAGAAAGTCGACGGTCTACGTTTGTTGAAGAAGACTTGCTCTTTAACACAGATAGATAATCAACAGTGATTGTGTCTTCATTTGGCAGAAATCTGCTGTTGAAAATGACCATGTTTTCAGATAAAATGCGGTGTATTTCTCGGTAGAGGGGGCTAGAAAGAAGTCAACGGTCTAGATCGAATCCCCTTTTCCTGAGCTTTCGAATGGTATATAGGTTGTTGGGCGAAAAAACTAACCAGTTTTCAAAAATGGGGTGGAGATATTTACTATTAGCTTGCTCCAACCCAGCTCCACCAATGTATTGGCTTTTATCGGTTACCGGAGCAAATGATTTTTAGAGCCGGGAAGCAAAGAAGCCCTAACATGCTGTATACCATTCGAAAGCTGAGATCATGGAGAATCGACGTAGACCGTCGACTTTTTTCTAGGTCTTCTGTGCCGCGAGATATGAGGGATTTTATGTGCTTCAAAAATTAACTGATTTTGTGTCCTCACTTTCTGCTCTCCAAAATGCTACGAGGATAAATAAATAATATAAATAAACATAATTACCGTTTCTTTTGTAAATTCATGAGTGTACTTGTTGCTTGAGGTACTTAGCCTGCAAAACCTTTTAGTAACTATTTTTATCATATTCTCAGTGTACAATACCAATCTCAGCTCAGGTGAAGGGGGTCATCGGGAGTTTGGCCTCAAAGTGAAGAAGGTAAGATCCATCACTCCTCCTATCGCAACTATGGAAAGTGCTTCACGGTCATGGAGATGCGGGTGTACCCGACACTTTAATTGAGAAGCGTAGGCTGCACCAACCTCGGTTAAGCGACGCCGTAGCGACAACTTGTGAAGTTGCGGTGTTACGCGCGCGAACTCTGCTACGCATTGAAGCACGTCGCGTACGACGGTGCGTGGAAGTCATACCAGCGCGGGACCGAGATAGATACACCACCTTAACACAGGTCATGTTCATGCACTCTTCCCGCTCATCTAGCTCATACCCTCGGCAGAGCCGGTGATGCTAGTTAGTGAAATAACTTCCTAATAACGACCGACGGACTAGTACTCAGATGCTAGTGTAATCTCAAAGCGAGCAAGGGACGCGATATTTGATGGATTTTCCAGAAACTGCTTCAAGTCAGAAATTTCTCTGTCCATTTCGGCTTTAAAAGCAGCACAGAAACAGCGATGGAATCAGAACAAGTTTACAATATTGAAAGAGTGTACAAATTCGTTGCCAGCTAATTTGCTTGAAGCATTCTTTCGCAGCTGTATCGTATAAACTGTGCGAAGAGTAGGCAAATAACGATCAAAAATGCTGGACACAATCTGCTGGACACATAAGTTGAAAAAACTGCGCCCTCTCTTGATATGTACAGCTGCAAATAATGCCTTGCCCTCTGAAAATTTCCGTAATCCAAGCAAAACTCAATGTTAACCAACTGATCACGATACTTTTTTTAGAAAAGATGTAGGACTTACTCCGGCGCCAAATCAGTCATTAAATTTACATCTCCGTTGAGTTGAAACGGGAAAAAGTCAGCCGCATTTTTCTAAATCGCTACTCGCAAAAAAGGCAGACTTTGGAATCGCGGAAATACGTACCACACTGGTTCTGTTCTCTGCTGGTGGAGGAGGCGGCGGAGTGGTACGCATCCCGCTTTCAATAGTAGTAGTAGCTTGCACTTCACAGGCAAGTGCTAATAGAATGCATGACCATAAAGTAAACCACATTGTGATGAATGATCCCTCCCAAGAATCGCATGTTAGATGCAACTTTGGCCTATCTCATTATCAGTGTAAACAATATGTTGCAATAATCATAGCTTAGAGGCTTCTAGTCTTGCATCTAAAGTGCATCTGGTTTCGAGTCTGATTCAGTGAGATGCGCTATTTCTTTCCGGAGATCACGGAAAAGCTGACGTTGGTCGACGTTGCATTAAATCCGCTAATATCAGACTTTGATTATTTGAATATGGATGAAGGAATTAGGAGGGAGAAGCGTCCCGAAAAACCATGTTAATAACACAACTTCCAGGTATCCCAGCTCGGGGAACCTACTATTATACTTTGGATTTTATAAAGATATTGCCACCTAGTTTACGAACATTAAACTGTGAGACACCCTGCATAGCAGGTGGATACAATAAAGCAGTCCATATGAAGTAAACTAAGTTTTAATGAAGTGCTAAGATTGATTTTGAACAAATTTTTCAAAAAATATGATATGTATAGTTGATGCGTTGACCGCACGGACTGAAAATCACTGCGGAGCACGCGCCGCGAGGTAAAACGCTTGCCCCATTAAGAATTCGCCATTACAAGTCTCTCTTGCGACGATTTAGCCGCGCAGCGCATAGTTCGAGCGTTTGAGCAGTCCGTGCGGTCAATGAATCGTCGATACATTTGCCTGCGCCTAACATGAAGTAAATTTTGGTGCGAGACAGTAAGGGTGCCGTCATACTGCGGCAGCCGCCGCTAGCAGCTTAGCAGCCACTGGCAACCCGTAGTGGTTCATAGCAGCCGCCAGCAGCCCGTAGCAGCCACCAGCAGCCCGTAGCAGCCGCTGGCCGCTTTTGTCATAGATGCGCAAAATCACCAAATTCTTATCACTTTGTGTGCGCCACCCATGCTTTCCATCTCCCACGCCTCTTTCTTCCTAATGTGGTTAATGTGTAGCTCCACTCCCACACATTACAGAGTTATTCAAGATAAGCACCGGCCAAGAATATGACTCGAAGCAGCACACATAAGAAAATAAACACTGTAGAAATTGGACGCATCCAAAGTCAGAAGAAATCACACCGCGAAGAAACTTTGGCGAAAAATGGTTCGACTGCGAGAGGGGAACTGAGCACCAATAAGATGACCAAAGTACGGCAACAAGATTATAACAACAATGAACACAAATAAAAAATATGAGATCAAGTGACAACAGGAAGGAATAAGCGTGGAAGATGGAAAGCGTGGGCGGTTGCACTTAAAATAGAAGAATTCGATGATTTTGCGCTTATATGACAAAAGCGGCCAGCGGCTGCTACGAGCTGCTGGCGGCTGCTACGGACTGCTGGCGACGGCTGCCGGCGCGGTATGAAGGCACTCTAACTTCTATGGCAAGCCATTTCAGCCGAAGTGGCCTTCCCCACCAAGATGTATATCCCCAATGGCTGTCTTGCAATAGTATTCCAAATCTATCCATATTCGCTGAAACATTTTCTGAGCAACATTTCACGCAATTTCAGACTCATGTCTTCAATGGATTTAGGAGCCTCCTGCAGGATGTAATCCATTAGCTTCGGGATACCTTTGACTTCCACATCCAGATCGAAAGCGCATACGAAAGATATCGAAGCATAAGCTCAAAGCAGGCACTAACTACAATCAAAGCAAATCAGGCTATCCATATGGAATCAGGGCCCGGCACGAGGTGGGCAAAAGCATTTTCCAAAACGAATTTCCCTTTGATCCCATTTTTTTACGAACACCCCCTTGAGCCCAAAAACGATGCTTTGTGCTTGCGCAACGAGAGCACCGGCCACACTTCACTTAAAAACGCTCGAAAGCGCTCAAAAACGCTCAAACTCTTCTAATTATTCCTCACCTTTATCAAGATAGAAAAGAGGAAGAAGAGTAAGTAAGGGAAATGACGAAGGAATGAAATATCAAAGTAACGCAGCTATATTACTGAGAGATGCCGTTCCCGCGTATCGATTGACTGGAGCGCGCTTTCCTCCCTAGAAAGCTGGGCTACTGATGCAATTTTGGGCTCTAACAAAGACAAGAGGAGGAGTTTTGGAACCAAAATCCTATCATATAGTAAACTTTAGGTGTACAACATATTTATGTAAAAATTTTGGAAAACTTATGTGAACTTTCTTGCCTACCTCAGGTGGGCTTGGTAAATATTTGTGCATGCTCTTCATTCAAATAAGTTTTTCTAATTTTTCATACGTTGTTCCTTAGTCCTGCTGCGCGTATACAACGCACCAAGTCTCGCGTAATTTCGTTTTTTCTGCGCTGGAAATGAGCCATTTCCATTTTTTGATAGTGGGAAATTTTCAGAAAAAAGTTTGCCACAACCTTCAGTCACATAATTTTTCAATGAAACTTCTAAGTTAAGCCTCGCAGATCCGTGTTCATGTGACTACCAAGTTTCATATTGTATGGTCATCTGTGCGCTGCAAGCGAGCCATTTGAATTTACATCTTCATTTATCAGTTTTGCAAAATTTTTGGAAAAATGCTCATTACACCTCCCATTCACATAAGTTTTTCATAATATTCCATACTTTGTTTCTACTAATCTCTCTTCGTTCGCTTACATTACTTGGTGCCATTCGTTATGCCTGCATTGAGAGCTGATCATGTAATTTTGCTGTTCAAACGGCATCGCTTATGTGACGTCGCGCGCGCGGCAATTAGCGGCGGCATAGCGTAGCGCGCGCGAACTCTATTGTGTGCGTTGAGGCCTATGAAAACTACTTCGCAATGAATCAGGTGTATAGGGTAATAAGCATGATTCGACCTTCCTTTGCTTCACTTGGAATCTTCTTCCGGGGCTCCGCGACCCCGCAAAAACGATTTTCCCCTTGCTTTTTCCACCAAAAACGATTTCCAGCTTGTCATTTGCCCAACTCGTGCCGGGTCCTGTATGGGATTTAAGGATGCAGTCAAGAAAAACTGGAACTGTTCCCGGACTTCGAAATCAGTATGAACGCAACCTCACGCGATTTCAGTCGCCACGGGATCTGGTAACTTGCCATATTTCTTCAAATTCAATACTAGCCGACCCAAATGCGCAGCATGTATAACTTTAGTAAATTGACAGAATGTCCTGTCTTCCGTACATTCAAGTACCCTTACGATGAGTTAAAACAATCGGATTGCGAAATAGCGTCGCGGGTGAGATCGCGTGGGGTATGCCCAGGTCCATGGGAGGATGATATTCCGTTTCAAACGTATGTAGCATAGAATCTGTAGTGGAACACGTTGAGTCGTTGACAATTTATTAAAAAAACACAAAGGTTCCCCTATACACATCGGCTTATGTGCTGTGGGTTCACTAAGATCAGTTCAATAATAGACACAGAAACACGTAAACGCATCAATGTGCGGCGGGTACGCCGCAGCCGCCTAGGTCGCCTCAGCCTTAGCTATCAATAATTGAGCGTCTATCTTACATTGAACGGCTCTACAACACCTCCCTTCTAAGGTGAACAACGGTTCATCTTTGAATGAGGATCTACCTGGAGAGGTTCTGTTGGTCGACGATGTCGGCTTCATCTGGTTGGTATCAGTGATGTGGTTGAAGTTGCACGGTGTTCAGCGATGTCCACGCCATTGTCCAATCGGCCTCTTTTGGAACGCATCGTGTGCAATTAATTGCGAGGGCGCTCCATACTTGCTCCACTGCGCATCTAGTTCGCGTGTCGCCTCAAAACTGCTTATCTTTCGTAAGAACATCATATACGGCTTCTCCATGGCGTTTCTTCACGTGTACTGGAATCCATTTTTCATATCCAGAGCGAAAGTCACTAACCCACACAGTCTCTTGTGGTTGGTACGCTTCCTCTCGTGCTCCATGGTGGCGGTTGAACTGCTTCTCCATGCTTTCAATGCCCATCTTTCCTTCTTCTCTAAAATCTCCATTTAACAGCGACAGCGGTGTCCTCATCTGACGTCCCAGCAGCAACTCGGCCCGCAAACGTTGTCCTGGTGAACTTGTACAAGGTGTTCGTCGATAGCACTGCAGGAACTCGGCAAGCTTCTGTGTAGTTCCTCCCTCCTTGATTTTCTGGAAAGTTCTCTTGAAAATATCTACAAACCTCTCCGCTTGTTTAGTTGATTGTGGATGGAATGGGGGTGAACGCATGTGCTGAATTCCTCGCTCTTCACAGAATTTTTGAAACTCCCTTGCTGTGAACTGCGTTCCGTTATCTGACACGATCACTCGCAGATTTTCAAATCGAGCGAATAGCAATCTAAGTTCTTTCAGGTTAGCTGTAGTTGACGATGAAGGCATCTCAAACACTTCTGGCCATTTCGAATAAACGTCAACTACGACGACACACTTACCATTCAGCAGTCCTGCGTAGTCAATGTGAAGACAATTTCATGGTTTGTTTTCCATTTTCCATGAATGCAGTACAGTCTTCACTGGCATCTTGGCTGCTTCTTGACATTTCCTACACGACGCACTGAGTCCTCGATGTCTCTGTTGATGCCTATCCAGTATGCGCCTCTTGAGCATCTTGAGCATCTTCATCCTTGTCATTCCAGGGTGTCCTTCGTGTAACTGCTTCAAAACCTCTTGTCGCAGCGAGGCTGGAATAACTATTCTATGGCCAAGATACAAGCATTCTGCACTGATAAACTCTCGCCCAGTGCTCTCCAGTTTCCAATATCTCCTTTCGGCTTGGACGGCCACGCTCCTGACTGTAGCATTTCCTGCATGATGTTTTCGTCCTTGCGCGACTCCTCTTCAATCTTAAGCCTGGTCACACCTCGTACAGCGGCAGCTTGAACGGCTTGCACATCTTCTTCTATTTTCGCTATCACGACGTCCTCGGCTTGGAATGGCCATGGAGGGATCAACCGGGATAGGGCATCGGCTTGTCCAAACTCAGTCATCCTCCGATACTCTGAATCGAAATCGTATGCAAGCAGAATAAGCTTCCATCGTTGCAGCCTATTCGCTGTGTAGACGGGCACCATCTTCTTCGCTTGCGGTCAGTA